CCTTATTAATGTTATGTGCCCCCCTCCCTCCCTTGGCTGTATCCCGCTACTGCCAATCCCTTGCTTATAGTATTATGGTAAATGTTCATATTTAGTAGACTTTATCTTGCAGGTAGAAGATATTGAACTTAAAGGGAATCACTAATCTCTGATCTAAAGCAGAACTCATAATTCCATGCTTTGGGCTGCTGATATGTCACAGCTTAGATATTTTATTCTTTATAATGTAATCGAACTTTGCACTTGATTTTTAGATTCCATTTTCAGTCAGGGAGCCCTGCACTTTTCACTGATAGGTAAATCAAAGTTATCTAGACCAAGTGAACAGATAAAGGCTTGTGAATTTCAGTCCCTGGCATCATGGTCAATTTAAGTGTTCTGTCACTCAATACAAACCTTGTCAGCATTTTTAGGAGAGAAAATTCTGTAATTATTTGAGAAGAATCATGGGTATATAAATGAAGTTATTGTCAGATGTCAAGTTCTGCTACTCTCCGCTTGCAGGCTAAAATGAAAAAGCACAACATGTAGTGTAAGGAAGGGGACTTTATTCCAAAAACTGGCAGATGGGGAAATGGCCAAGCCCATGTCTAAATGAAACCATTTCAAAATCTTGGACCGAGGGTAAGATTTTATAGGGAAAAGATGAAATGGAGGTACCAAGGAGTGATACAGGATATAGGGCTCTGTGTCTTCCTTCAATGATATTCCTGCATTGCTGCCTACCTGGACAGCCACCCATGTCATCACAATTGTGGTCCAGTTATAGACTGACCACACTGCTGTGACTTCTGAATCTTGACTTGGGGTCTCCAGGCATAGGTGACTTCTGAACAATGAGGCTTCAATCACAGTTTGTTCCAAGATTAGTATCTGAAATTTCTCAAGTGAGTTAGAGCAACGGGTATGTGCTTAATCATAATCATAGGATCATTGTGTAGGGGGAGGAAAGGAAAGGAAAAGAACTTAGTATTCCTACAAGCTGCATTGTGGAATTAACAACAACAAAAATAACTTTCAAAAGCTGAGAATCTCAGTTACATTCTCACATCAGACTTGATCATGACGGGGCCACACTGCTTTGGAAATGCCATGTGCACTGCAGGGAGCCTCCAGCTCTTACTGGAAGGAAGTAAACCCGGGTCTGAGCTGTTGGAAAAGGCGGCTCAGAAAGTTCTTTGAAATCTGCTTGACCTTGAAAATGCATGCACATTTGGTATTCAACTTCAGATTTCTTCATATTTGTTTTTTAAAATAAAAATGATTTTACCCCAAATTTTGTGTAAAATTGATGCTCCAGAGCTGGCACCCTTATCCTTGAGCATATCTGCTTACCTCTGGGAATAGAAAGCGCCTGTCTGAGAAGCTCTAATGTCCTGGGAGGTTGGAAGACAGAGGATATAGGTCAGCATGCATATCTATGACTGTAAGATTAGACACTGCTGTGTATTTTTAGCAAACAGCCTCATCTTTCACAAAGTGACACTGTGCAAAGAAAGGGCAGAATCTGAATAACGAGTAGAGAGTAAAGGCCAAGGCAGCCTTGTCAACTGAGTTCTAAGTCCCCACACTGCTGAAGCAAGTTCCCCTACAAGGGTGAAAAGAGCTGGTCTTCATGCTGTTTTGCTGAATTATAGTTTCCAGGGCATGCCATGGTGCTGTGAATTCATACTTGTAACATTTCAAAAGGCGGATGGAGAGAGAAAATGAGAATGGGAGTAGGAGAGAGACATCGGGATTAACCCCAAAGCCCTAAATTTAATTCCAAGAGCTTCTCAGTACCCTGCAGAATCTTTTGCACACCAACAAAAGACTCGGTTTGGAATCTGTTAAACCATTTGCTGAGTAGGTTCTGTTGTGGAAACATTTGTGCGCAACACATAGACAGTGAAGCTGCCAAAGATACATCTGAGAGAGAGGGGCAACAGGACCCAGAACCGCATGGTTAGAATGACAGTCAGGCGTTAGACAAGCCACAGAGCAAAGGGAGCATGTCTGCCCTGAGAAGCCAAGCCATCTCCATGACAGGCCTACAGCCTCAGGTTATTCCAGAGTGAAACTATTTGGGCTAAGTCTTCACATTACTTCACAGTCAGTAAACTATAGAGGGTTTGTGAATGCAGCTGATTTCTCAACCTCAAACATGCCTCTGCAACACATCTTGGACAAGAAGTCAGGATGTCAAACCTTCCTGAGACTGAGCAAGCATGTTTACTTCCTGGAAAGTGTTTATCATGGCTACTGTTGCCTCCATTTTCATATCATCAGTCTGGTGCCTACATGCCTTTGCAAATAATGTTAGTGAAAAGCCAATCTTATAGAGATTTAAATGATATGTATCTCTCCACTGAGCTTAGTAACTTCTAGAAAATATATTTTTGGGGGGAGTCTACAAACCTGTTTTTGATGCAAGTGAAGATAAATAAACGCTTCTCTGTAAATACCTTGAACACCAGCAAAGGAATACATAAATAGGAAGAACCAAAATATGTATGCTTTTAAAAAAAGGAATAGCTGGGCTCGGTGGCTCAGCCTGTAATCCCACGCTTTGGGAGGCTGAGGTGAGTGGACTGCCTGAGCTCGCGGGTTCGAGACTCATCTGGGCAACTTGGCAAGACCTCATCTCTACAATAAATCAAAAAATTATCCAGGCGTGGTAGCGCACGCCTGTAGTTCCAGCTACTAGGAAGGCTGAGGCGGAAGGATCGCCGGAGCCCAGCAAGTCGAGGCTGCAGTGGCCAGGAGCGGCCACTGCACTCCAGTCTGGACGACAGAGTGAGACTCCAACTCAAAAAAAAAAGAAAGGAATAAATGTACTATTCGTTGTTATCACTGCATGTTTAAGCTCATTTTAGCTTAGCATGAAATATGTAGGTTAATCCCACATCTTTTAAAAAACATACATTAGCATACACACACTCTAGACTTAAAATTTCACAAGCTATAATTATTAAAATTATAGTTTTTGTTGTTCCCTCAAAGAACTGATATTCTAAGAAGGAGGCAAGCTAGGTGTGGACCTTTTAAAACTAGAATTAGATACCAGGGACTTTACTAGTTGATCATAACTGTCCCAGTGCAGCAGTAGAGCCTTGTAAGGAGAGGTGGTCAGCCAGCAGAAGTCTCCCATGGCCTTTGCCCAGGCACAGGTGTGCAAACTGTGTACAACACTAAGGAATTTTGAAGCCCTGGTCATGACCTTGAGGACTGGCCACTTTCAGAGTTAAGAGAGTGGTCTAACCTGAAGATGTAGTCTCTGAACTGTTTGTTGGTCTCTATTTCCTTGCGTTAGCCAGTCGATGGGGAGAACAAACATACTAGGAAGGAGAGGACTCTTCAATGCGAGGAGGGTTAATGCCTCAGGACATATCAGTTTCGACTCACCAATCTCAGCCATGTCTCTCTGGTTCCTTATTATCAAATGAGATGCTAAAGGACAGAAACTTGTCAAAGAGTTTGATGATCCCTTATTTGGCTTGATGCCACGCTCCATGCCACATGTCACCTCTACTGGTTCCCTCTGCTGAGCAGCCCGATACCCTTGAATACACCTCACGCTTGGGCCTCGGAGCAGACAAGATTTGCTCACAAGCTGCAACCAAAGTTCACAGGCTCATCAGGGGCACCCGTGTCAACATGAAGAGATGATCTAGTAACCCTTTTGTACTTCCCTGGGGCTGAAGCTGTGAGTCCTAGTGCTACCACACCCAGTCTCATATACAGCAGGTTGATGGGACCATCCAATCACAACTTTTATAGCATCAAAAATACTGAGACCAAGCCTGCACAACCTATAAAGAGACTTTGAACAAGAGATTATGGAGTTTTCCATTTTTCTTTTCCTACTGCAGATTATCTTCTAAAAAAGTGGACACTCATTTGGGCTCGGTGGCTCAGCCCATAATCCCATGCCTTTGGGAGGCTGAGGTGAGTGGATTGCCTGAGCCCGTGGGTTCAAGACCCGCCTGGGCAGGCGAGACCTCATCTCTACAATAAATCAAAAAATTAGCCGGGCGTGGTAGCGCACGCCTGTAATTCTGGCTACTCGGAAGGCTGAGGCAGAAGGATTGCCAGAGCCCAGCAGGTCGAGGCTGCGGTAGCCGGAAGCGGCCACTGCACTCCAGTCTGGGCGACAGAGTGAGACTCCAACTCAAAAAAAATTTTTAAAAAGTGGACACTCTGTGGATTTTCTTAATATTTAGATTTTAAAAATTATTTTCTGCAGAAATACAAGACATGCAAAAGTAAGCAAAAAGAGTTATTCTGCCTTCAAATAAATGCTCAAAATCAGTTCTGAATAAAACTTTCCTAGAAGAGAATGGAAGCAAGAACTTTAGCTGTTTTGTTAACCCATTAACATATATTGAGCAATGACAAGAAATAAAACATTTTAGCAACCTGCTTTGCAAACACCTACTAGATTGCAGATAATCCATGCGACAGTTGTGTTCTGAAATTTCCCAGGAAGGCAATTAATTAATAGAAACCTCAGAGTAGCTTCTTAATGTCATATTCAGGCTCCTCCCTAATAAAGAGTTTCCTGGAAATCCCTAAATAATAATAAGTGGAGATGCAGCAGTTCAACACTCTACTTGGCTCAATGGAAACACTTTATAACATTTTAGTTACAGCAGTAAACACCTATTGACCTATCATTCTACTGCCTTAGGCCATGCTTTGATAAATACTTTTTGCAAATTTGAATGTGAAAAGGCATTGGTTTCATAAGTAGTTACAAAGGGCCTTTAATATTACAGAAATTGTGTTTGTTGATTTCCATATCTCTGAAAAGTACCCATCACCCTCACTAGCAGATCCCCTACTACTGGGAAAGCCATTTGGTTGCCAAAAGCTTGTTTTAATCAATAGTTGCCCAATGAAATCACCATCTTTGTTGCCTATAACTGGAGTAATAATTGTCATTAAGCTACTTGTACTGGAGTGTGAATGTCCATTTGGATGCTCGTTGTGGTTGTCTCCCATTTTCCTTTTTCTTACAGATTTTTAAAAGTATTGGCTCTGATGAGACTGTCCAAGGGCAAGGAAGTCGGAGGCTGATCAGCTTCTCTCTCTCAGGTATGTCTTGCTCACCTAGAAGCCTATGGAGAGAATGTCAACCAAGAGTTAGGAGAATCGCTTCAGTTTGACTCTTCCCTAAAAGATATTCAACCTCTCTGTGCCTCAATTTCTCCATTTGTAACACAAAAATAAAAACAGATATGTATATCTGCTCAATTCTCCTTGGCCTCATAAAGATGATAGAGAATACAGAAAGCAATAGATACAAAAGCACTTTGAGGTGATGGGAAGAGAGGTTGCTATTCCACTTTTCCACTCAGGCCAAGTCGCAGTATTAAGAGCATATAAGGCCAGCAAGGTGGCTCTCGTCTATAATTCCAACACTTTGGGAGGCCAAGGTGGGAGGATTGCTCAAGTCCCAGAGTTCAATATCTGCCTGGGCAACATAGCAAGACCTCATTTCTACAATTAAATAAAAAAATTAGCCAGGTAAGGTGGCACACACCTATAGTCCCAGCTACTTGAGAGGCTGAGGAGGGAGGATTGCCTGAGCCCAGGAGGTCAAAGCTGTAGTAAGCTGTGATTCATGTCACTGCACTATAGCCTGGGCGACAAACTGAAACCTTGACTCAAAAAAAAAAAGAGTACATAAAAGTATGAGGAGAGAAGAAATTTGGTCAGGAAAGTCTGAGGAGAAAAGCAGCTCTCCAACCCTTTGTCTAAATAAAACTTCAGGTGGTGCCCAACTGGTAAGACAAACAAAAACTAAACTACTCAAAAAAGCATATCCATGTGGAAGATAATCAGTGGAATCCAGTTAAAGTTTGCTAGCTACTAGTATTTTATTTTAATAGTTAAAAGTAGTTAATTTTTTAGTTTTCATGGACATAGCATGATATGCCATATGTTAACAATAGAGCAGACTGGGTAAAGAGTATGTGGGAAATCTTTTTACTATCTTTTGAACTCTCCTGTAAATCTACAATTATTTCAAAATGTAAAGATTGAAAGAAAAACTGAGCCGCTCTGGCTAAGATGACATACAAAGCTCAGGGCTTTACATCTCAAGCCCACCCTAAGGGGTCTTTGAGAGGATACAATAGCATTGTTGCAGATCCCAAGTTCTACCACTGGTAGCTTGCAGGCCGAAATAAACAAGCATGAGATGCAGTATAAGTAGGGGGACTTTATTCGAAATCTGGCAGATGGAGAAATGGCCAGGCTCATTCATCAAAGAAACCATTTCAAAACTTTAGGCTAATGACAAAAGATTTTAAAGGGAAAGAATGGAATGAGAACTATCTGGGAGGGCACAGGGAGCCGATCGTTTTTCGATGGTTATCCCCAGTCTTCGGCCACCTGGCAACTTGCTTCACTGGTTATCTCGAATCATCGTTCACCTATAGACTTGCTTCATTTGTTATATCAAATCGTCATCTCTAATTCTCGTCCACCTTCAGGACTGGCTGATATAGTCCTAACTGTGAGCAATGGAGAATTCTGCTGTTGGGTCTCCAGACTCTACTATTATAAGATTATCCTCCGGAATCTCACAGACAGGCACACAATTAGATTAGAAAGGAAAAATGTATCCTTCAAGTATAGGCTAAGAGAGAAAAGGGCTTAAAACTATTTCTTGAAAGCTTAAATGGAAATTCTCAGTTACAGTATGAAGTCCAAGGAGTTCATTGAGTACAATTTGAAAACTACTACCTTAGGTTGTCAAACCAACAAATGTTATAGGTCATGAATGCCAGAGATAAGCAAGCGGTCACAGGCATGATGTGCACAGGCCTCTTTGAGAGGTAGACAGTCAGCTGAGACTTTTCAAGTCTAAGTGAGCCCAGTAAAGAAAATGCATGTCTAAAGATCCATTGGCAGCATTAGCATGTGTCTGTACAGGTTGAAAAAAGCAGACTGGGAAGGGAAAAACTCAATAATTTTGTATTAGGGCAAAAATTATTAATAACAACTCCTGATTTGCCATTCTGTTTCTGTTGAAATGCTTGCGAAATAACCATTATTAGTACCAACTTTCAAAACTGGCAAAAACTAGGAATATGACACAATGATGAGCCAGAAGCCAAGAGAAATTTTCACTAACCAAAGCTCCAGTGACATCCGTGAAGAGGAACATCATGCAGGGTAGACAGGATGGGGTTGGGGTAGCAACAAAGTCTCTATTCCTTGGTCCCCATTTTGCCTCTTCCATGCAGACATGGGCTCACAGACCTACCAGAGAAAAGGAAATTCCCCCCACCCTAATTTGATTCACAAAGCTATTTTATAAGGTGATCATGGTTGGTTTATTTCCTATAGTCTCCTAATATATCGTTTTTCTTACTCTCATTCCAAGACAACAATTCCCAGCAATGGGATGTGACTGGGAATATAAAGTTAACTGCTAAAGGAGCTAACAGAAAAACCAAACTCTGTAAAATATTTTAAAGAGGTCTATTTTGAGCCAATATGAGTGACCATGGCCCAGGGAACACAATCTCAAGAGGTCTTGAGAAAGTGCACCTGCCTTGAGGCAGTCGGATTGGAGTGTGGTTGTATACATTTTAGGAAGGTGGAAGTTACAAGCTAAGTCATAAATCAGTACGTGGACGTTATACGTTGGTTTGGTCCACAAAAGTGAGACATCTTTAAGCAGTAGCTTACAGGTCATAGGTGGATTTAGAGATTCTTTCATCTGCAATTGGTTAAAGGAGTAAAGTTGTCTAAAAAATTGGAGTCAGCAGAAAAAAAAATGTTTTAAGTTAAGATCAGGATGTCTGTTGACCAAAATACTGGGTTGGAGTGACCTGTAGAGGTGTGTGACTTAACCCTTTATGTCCTGCTTATAATTTGACATCTTATTGTCACAAAAAGTCTGCTCTGTTAGTCTTATTATCTCTATTTTAACATTAATGCTGGTCAGTTGTTGTTCCCAAACTCCAAAAGGGAAGGATTATAATAAGGCGTATCCAACCTCCCTTCCTAACATGTATGGGAATTCCATTTTTAAGGTTTTTCCATGGTCCCCTTAGCCTAGAGGGGCCCCATTTCAGTCAATGGAAACAGGATTTTTAGGTTGGAACAAGCCTAAAATGGTCATGGGAAAATAATATCAAATCGTTGGAGATATATATAGGTGTTTAATTCACTATGTCTGTCTAGGAACAAAAGTAAATACTGCTGAAACTATCAAAATAAATTCCATACCTCAAAGAAAGACAAGACTGAAAGATCAGTAAATCTATATCAAAGTAAACCCCACAAAGTATCAAAAATTTACTTGGTGCTGGTCAACTCTGAGTGTAAAAGCAGGGATGAGGATTCCAACAGTAACTAGTTGGACGATAAAACTTAAACATGGGCAAACACTGGGACTACAAGACCTGTTTATGGATAAATAGCAGAAACTTTAATTTGAAGAATGCATGGAGAAAATAACCTATCCTATTAAAAAGTTGAAGACTATAATACTCAAAAGAAAAAGAAAGTATTCTGTTGATAGATACCTATTAAAGAGAAATAAAGTATTTATCACTCATCTGCTTGTACCCTCAATAAAAGACAGGGAAGTATGGGGCATATTAAGTAAGAGATCTAAGTGGGAAAAAAAATGATAAAAAGTGGAAGCGCGCAAAAATAAAACTTGGAAAGTCAAGCGTATTTTTTTCTTTTATTGCTGCTCTAACAAATTACTACAAACTTAGTGTCTTAATAACACAATACACTCTACTGTTCTGGAGGCCAGAAGTCCAGAACAAATCTTAAGGGACTAAAATCAAGGTGTCACCAAGGCTGGTTCCTTCCGGGGGCTCCAGTGCAAATACATTTCTTGCCTCTTTCATTTCTAAAAGCTGCTGGCATTCTTTGACTCGTGGCTGCATCGCCCCAGTCTCTACTCCTATCATCATATTGCCTTCTCCTCATTTTGCTATTACTACCTCCATCTTATAAGGACCCTGTGGCTACATTTGGCCCACCTGGACAGTCCAGGATAATCTTCTCATCTCAAGGTTCTCAACTTCATCACATCTGCAAGTCCTTTTTATTATGTAAGGTAACGTGTAGATTCCAGGGATTAGAACACACACATCTTTGTGGGGCCATTATTCTGTCTACCACAGTGGAGGAGAGACTTAAACTCTAAAAAGTGCAATCACAGAATTAAAAGTGAGCCTTCAAGAGCTGAACAGAGCACAATCAGTAGTACAGTATTGGAATCAGTGATATGGCATACTGACTTGTCTTGCCCAGAATGGATAGATGAAGAACAAAACACAAAAAGGATGAGGGGGACTAAAGAAGATTGACACACACAAAGCCAGCACATAATCAGTTTTTTTTAATGAAGAAATCAGAACAAATTAAACAGAAACAGTAATAAAAGAAAACATTCTTGAGCCGAAGGTAATGTTGAGTTTTTAAATTAAGCCATCAGGTGCTAGGGGAAAAAAAAAATGTATATGAAGAGACCAACTCACTTAAAAAAATTTTTTTTTCAAATATAGCCACAGTCGACATCCAGGTTGGAAAAGTGTGATACTTACAGAAGGATAAGGCTCATTCTAATCTCAGGCTTGTCTTCTGATATGCCAAAAAAAAAAAAAAAAGAAACTGAAGCAAAGCCTACAAAGTGTTGACAGTAGCATGTTTTAACCCAAGATTTCTATGTCCATCATTTTGTCATGTAAATGGGAAGGTAAAAGGAACACATTCTCAGGCTTGCAAGGACTTAAAGACCGCCACCCTTGCACCTCACCTGAAAGTAACATGTGGGCATGCACTCCAGCATAAAGAGAGAAAAATCCAAGAAAAACCAACAATTGGAGACAATGCAATATAAAAGGACTGATTTTCTGTTTAGGATGTAAAAGGAGAAATAACCTGAAAGTTAGATAATAGAATTAATCTTCTTTTCTAGAAAGTTTCAAGTACAATGAACATATCGAAGCAAGATAGCTTATGCAAATGCTTTATTTCTTTAATCTATTTATATTTCCTATTTTTATCACTTCTTAAAAGTAATAAATTTCCTGGGTAAATATCAAGCCTTTAATTTCAACAAATTGCACTTTAGCACTCTACCTAAAAAAAAAAAAAAATCAGAAACGCAAATAAAGATTTATTCACAAATATATTGGAGACAATTTAAACATTCAAAATTAGGGACTGATTAAATAAATTACCACAGAGCCAAGTAATCAAATACTATGTACTCTTAAGAAGTATTATTATACAAAATGTTCTAAAAAGCATGGAAATATCCTTATGATATTCTAGGGGAGGAAAAATAATTTTTCCTCTACTCTTCATGAGTTCTTACCCGGGGACTCCCTGTAACAGAAGACAGATTAACAAGGGAAAAACAACAGTTTATTAACATATATATCCAGTGTATACATGAATACATAGGGATACCCAGGGGAGAATGAGTAAACTTCCAAGAGGGGGCTTAGAATTTTAGCTTATATAGACAAAGAACAATACAATTTTTAGAGAAGTGACAAGGCAGAGGAAAAAACCTTGGGTCTCTAGGGCAGCCAATGTTGTGAGTCTATGGTAGGTAAATGCTAGTTAGTAAAGTCTATTATGCAGATTCCTCTGATGCTGTCTCCTGGTTAGTAAGGGTCTGAAGTCATCTCTGGTGATCAATCTTTATCCTTCTGGGTAGAGAGGGGAAAAGTAACACCTTTGTAAATGTATACCCTATTTTTGGGTAAATAGGGAGAGGGCAAAGAGTTTTTCTTGTATCTGCTTTTTCTCTATGGCCTTCAACTCAAAATAATCCTTATGCCAAGTGGCATATTTTGGGATGTTGTATTCTGGTGGTATATTTTTGTCTTCTGCATATATAATGCAAAGCAAAAGAAAAAAGTCTAGGATGCAATACTGAATATGCAGTATGGTCTCCACTATGCAAAAATAAATAAATAAATACTGGAAGAAAATACGTGAAACATTTGGCAAAGGCTGCCACTGGGTAGTACAACTTGAAATAATTGTAAAATTCTGTTTCTTTTCATTACATATTTTAAAATGTTATAACAAGTGTGAAAATGTTTATCCTCAGAACCAAAAAATACAGGCAAAAATGGGGGAAATTATTAATAACTATCCTCCCATTAATATATCATTTGCTTTTGGAAAATCATAGAACTCTATGTGCTCATACAGACATCCTTCTCAACCATCTCACAGGAAAAAAAAGCAAGACTTGAAAGTGTTAAATTTATTTTCTCAAAATTACAAAGTTCAGTAGTGAATGTTCCAAAACTCAATGTAGGTATAATGACTCTCAGTCTAGCACCCTTTTAACTATATTTCTTATTGCAGCAGTCTTTAAATACTTTTACTCCATGAAACATATATTTTAATAAGTATCCAGATTGAACTTAAATGTGTAAGTGCTCATAGAGAAAAGTGTAAACATGAGCCAAGGACATGAAAGAAGACCTGTAAAAAATGAAATGCTTGCTCTTGTGTGGGAAGTCTCTGTTTTGTAAAGCTACTAATTATCCCAAAATTAATGTGTAAATTCAATGTGGTTCCAATCAAAATCCCAATTTTTTTAAGGAAATTATTAAAATAATATTTATCTGAAAGGATAAATGTGTGAGTGGTAAAGCAAGATATTTTCTTTAAAAATAAAAAGAACAATGAGGAGTGGTTTAATTTACCAGGTATCAAACATTTGATAAAGACATACTGATACAAATGTTGACAAGCTATTTGATAGAACAAAATAAAGAGTATAGCAAAGGATTCATTTATACTTGAGAATTTAATCTATACCAAAGTTGACATTTTTATAAAAAGGCAATATAACATATTGTTAAAAGCACAGACATTGGAATCAAAGAGACAGGTTCAAAGCTCATCCCTGATCAGGCCTGAAAACATATGACTCCATTTTCTCTTGCTCAAATTAGGGAAATAATCTCTACCTTATGGAGAAATCAGATAACGGATTTTAAGTGCTTGCAATAGTTCCCAGAATTTAGTAACTAGCAATAAACAGTGGGTGGTGTTGGAGGTGATGGCAGTCATTATTTTATGTTGAATGAAGTATACATCTTTCACACTCTACATCAGGGTCCCCCAAAACACCTCCAGGTTAAACAATTTACTGGGAGGACTCACAGGACTCGGTATCTAGTTGTACCCATGACTGTGATTTATCACAGTGAAAGGATTCAAAGCAAAGTTAGCAAAGGGAAGAGGTGCACAGGCAAAGTCTGGAGGAAACCAGGAGAAAGCTTCCAAGGGACTCTCCCACTGGAGTCACAAGGACGTGCTTTATTTCTCCAGCATGAACTGTAACAACACGAGTTAAATGTTAGCAACCCTATAATACTGAGTGATCTATCACAGAAACAAAGAACCGAGTATGACATGTTCTCTCATAAGTGGACCTTGAACAACTATCATACTATTAAAAAGGGATTGGCAGTAGTGGGAAACTGCCAGGGGAGGGAGGTGCATACCTCATCAACAAGGGTACCTGCATAATGAACATTTGTATCCCTAATCCTGAATTGTATCCCACATCTTTAAAATAAAATTAGAAAAGTGTCTTAGGGACTCAGTGTCCAGGGTTTCCATTGGGGTGGGGTGTGTGCTGGTCATGTGGGCATCTTCTGTTAGCCCATACCAAAATTCCAGACTCCCAGAAGGAAAGCAGTGCTCATCATAAGAAACATAGTTGGCATGAACAGTTTGGGCACAGTGAGTCACTTTTATCAGTTCTGGGAAGGCAGGGGCCCTCCTGAAATCCAAGTTCCCAGACACTAGCCCAGAGCCAACCTTACTAACAGGTCTTTCCAAAATGAGCAGTCTCAGGCTGCTATGTTAACTTCTCTCTGCATAAGTTCTGTGGGTGTAGCCTAGGTTTTGCAAATTTCTGTGATGCTCATACTTTCTGCCCTTTTTTCCTTTCAAGGTCACATATTACCATGCAAGAGAATAAGAATGATTTTATTATGAAAATGACTTTGAATCAACTCAAAATACTTTTAAATAAATGAAAAGTTTCCCTTGTATATAATGTGAATACTTTTGTTTGGAAAAGACTCCAATAATACAAAAGTTTTAAAAATTATATTTCATGGTGTCATAAATATACATATTTCTAGTAAATATAAAGTGATTTCAAATCATTCCAGAACAACTATGAATTTGTAACAATCTTGTATTCTCCCTGCCCCCTCACCCAGCATGAGATTGTCCATGATCAGATATTCTCAATTAAATAGAACAATTCAGTTTCAAAGTTTTGCCCTCCCTGGCAGCATGGTTTCTCAAAACTCTTCTCATTAGTAGGCACTTAGCCCCATGAAAGCCAGCATTATTTTCTTTTTCCTCCATAGTCTTTGCTCTTTTAACCCTCTTCTTTCTCTTTATTTCTGCTAATTCTTTCTCCTTATTCAGTGAAGTCTACATTTATTGTGAAACTACAGCCCTTGTTTTTCTTATGTTTCTACCTTGCAGAGGAATTTTATACCCAGACCCACTGAATTTCCAAAGTTGTCTGTCCTCTCTCTGTGCCCACCTCCCTTTCCTGAGCTGACCCTCAGACCCTCACTGCCACCTCTTCATCTTAACTTTCCTTAGGAAAGCCCAAAATCTAGTCCAGTAAGGCCAAACGAGCCTCTCCTGAAAAGTCTAGTTACTGTAATGCCAGCTGTCACCCTCAATAAAACATATTTAAATTAAAATATCCCTTATTTTATAGATTTCCAGGCCATGGGATTGAAGAAAGGGATGTTTTTCAACCCAGATCCTTATCTGAAGATTTCTATTCAGCCTGGGAAGCACAGCATCTTCCCTGCCCTCCCTCACCACGGACAGGAGAGGAGATCCAAGATCATAGGCAACACGGTGAATCCCATCTGGCAGGCTGAGGTAAGTGCCATGGACCTTGAAAGGAAGCCCAAGTAACAGAGGGAAGTGGTTGACCATGAACCAGCCCACATGCTTTCCCTTCATTCGTAGAATCCCAAACTCTGCTGCTAAACCCATGGCTCTCATGGTCTTAGCAGACAGCCATGTTCTCTATGGATTGCAACTCAAAGGGATCCTAAGTCCCTCCAGATAGTAATGAACTTTTCATTGCTGCTGCTCTCTGATTCAGAACCTGTGCCTGCGAGCGGGGCAGTCTTCCTCTCTGCCCTTTGTGTGGGAGAAAAAAATGTTGTGGTCTGAATATTCTAGTTTCTCCACAGTTCTTCCTACACATGTGGTCTTTGAGCAAGTGTGCCAGATTTAAAATGTGTCCTCTGAACCAGTTCCAGAGATTCTAAAACTATCAGGTTCCTGGGGCAGGTAAATCAATAAGCCCTAGAATATCCCTGGTCGGGTTACAAATTGTTGTATGTAAATGTATATGAAGTCTAATTTATTAACCCACCCTCATGATTTGCCCAGGGCTGGGAAGCTTGCTAGAGTATTGAATAGTGTGTTTTGTCTAATAAAGGCCCTTCTCCACTCCTAAATGTGTCTTCTTTGCCAGCCAGAAGTTAGGAGGGTCCTCAACAAAGTTGTATGTCAGGCTTGACCTCACAGTGACACAGTCCTCTCCTAGAGAACATTCAGAAAGTTGTTGCCACCCCTTTGGTTGCCTAGTTGCAGGCTTTAGCTGGAGGATATAACCTTCAAAATGTGGGTTAAGAGGCAGAGAGGCTTACATCATGAGAGTGGATGGTTAAAAGTATAGCTCTATAGTGACACAAACCTGGGTTCAAATCTCAGCTTAGCCAGTTAATAGTTTTATAAATTTGAGAGATCAGTTATCCTCTGTCTAGGTCTTAGATTATCCTCATCAGTCACTTAGGAATGGAAACGTACTCCCACTGAAGGCTTTGGACAGGATTTCTTCTTTAATTTTTCAGAGTACATCTTCTCAGATGTAGAACTTTCAAGTGCCCTTGACGAAAAATACATAATTAGATATTTGGGAGCAAAATTATTTTATTATCTTTTAAATTACACCACCTATTTCCTAGGTTTAATCAACCATCTCCCAGACTCCACAGAAGAGCTCTTTTAGAACTCTGAAGTGGACATGGGGGAAATCAAGTTGTACTTGAACTTCCTACTAGTGTTAGTTCTTGACAGACTCTAAAGCACTAATGGCACCACTAGCATGAAACAATGAATCTTAAATTACTTACTGCTTTAGCTCTGGCTATTCTCATCACTTATTTCTGAACTCCTCACTGTATTCCTGGGAATAATACAAGGTACCACAGGAATTTATAGTATGCGGGAGGGGGGAGAAAGTCTTCTTTCTTCTGAAGAACTTTAGAGCAACTTGTTCTAAGACATTTAGTCATAAAAGTGGAATAAATCTCAGAGAATGTCTATAAACTACAGTACCATCAGAAGGTTTTCTAGCTAAAAATGTCAACAAGAATCCACCTTAAGTTCTGAAATTATTTCTGAATTTTTGATTGAGATTGACTTTGTTCTGGTGAGATACTGGCAAACTCTCCTGAGTCCTCTGTTCTGGGCCTCCTCATTCCATCCCACATGCTGGAGTAAGAGTAACTGATCTAAAACAAGCCTCATCACATGTCTCCCTGATAAGGTGCGGGTTGAGGATAAGGCATTTCTCAAGTTAAACAGCTAGTAACTGGCTGAACAGAAATTTGAACCAAGGTTTGCAGGGTGGCAAAACTGTCCTTTTAACCTGGGAATTATACTACAGTCTCCAGTGCCCAAATATCAAAGTCATAGCTACCCTGCAGAGCATTCAAGGCCTTCTTCAGTCAGGCATTACTTACCATTGTGTCAGGTAGGGGTACATTTGGCTCTAAGGGAGGCGAAGCCTGGCTAACCATGATAGATCGCACCAATAAGAAGTTCAGAGAGAGGTAATCCAGGCAGTGCAGCTTCTGAGTAAGCCACCAGGGTACCCCAGTTTTCTGGATCTGCTCACTGTGCCATCCTTAATAGGTGACTTCATCCTTCTGCCTTAAAATCTCAAGCCCAAATTCTAGACAGGAAGAAAGCAGCAAGGCCAAAAAAGCCTTCTCCACATAAGACTCTGAATTTTCATTTGAGGAAAAGAGCCCTTCCCAGCACACATCCTATTGCCTACCATATAACCTCACTTGGATGGGAACACTTAGCATGTTTTTCCTAACTCTGGTAGGGAAAGGCAAGAGAGAAGGTGGCTGAGCTTAAGTGTGGGATAGAGCAGTTTCTAGTGTCTGTGATGTCCTCCAGCTTCACTCCCCACTGACTTTCATCTCAGACCTTATGCTAAGGCCACTCCCTATGACTGCTGTCACCAAATGCCCCTTGTGCTTTTACATGGCCCTATCTTTGCATATATTTTGTCTTTGCTCGTATCTGTCTAAAATGTATATCCTCAACTAATCCACCTAGCAACTCCCATTCATCCCTCAAGTCTCAGCTAAAATGCCATTTCCCATATGGGGCATTCCTGGACTCCTCCACCTCAGACATCAGGAGGAAAGTACTGCCTTGTACAGATTCTGCACAACATGGTGTTTCCATGTTGTCTTTTATTTGCACCTCTATCTTCCCAAGACTTTGAACTCTTCAAGAAAAGGAAGTCACATCTAATTCTTACTGATATCTCCAGGTCCTAACAATAAGTTATATAGGGCTTATAAAGGACTAGCTATGCCAGGTAGTGTTCTATAAATTTTACATAATCAACTCATTTAACAACAACCCTATGAGGTATGCACTAGTATTATCTGTTTAAAAGTGAGAAAATCAAAACACAGAGAAGTAATTTTTCCAAGGTCACATAGCTGTAAATGACAAAATCAGAATTTGAAAAAGGTAGCCTGTCTTCAGAGCCTGATACTGACCAGTCTTGTTTGTAGGTGGTCATGAACAATTTTTAGAAGAGTATCCATTATTTATTTCAGACACTCAAAGTGATCGTGACCAACCCTACCCCCAACCTTTCATTTAAGAAATGTTTGTTGAGTAACTACTGTGTAATAAACATAGAAACCAGTGGAAGGACACAAAGATGATTGTTAGATAAAACCTCTCAGGTTAGTGGAGGAGACAAAACAATGCAATAAATGTTCTAATCAAGGTATGAACAAAATGCTACAGAACACAAAGGCAGGAGCACGTAGCCTGAGAGAAGATTTCACAGAGGATGTGCTACTACTGGACTTGTCTTGACAGGGAATGAGATGTTTTTCAAGGTGGGAGGGGATGTTTTTCAAGATAGGCAAAAGGAAAAGCATGTGTAGAGAAATCAAAGCATCTCACCAACACAGCGCACCGTTGGAAATGTCATCTGGTTGATGCCTATGGTGTGCACGGCCAAGTGATGGCAGCAGGGCAGGGCTTACTCTAGTCATACGCATTCAGCATGGTGGCTTTATTCCTTACAAACAAAAGATATTGTTAGGTTCTGGGTCCCACATTGTGCCTTGGCAAATGAAATGATTCCCTGCTCCCAAAAGATTCACACAAGTCTTTAAATTTTTATGCGAGTAGGTACAAACCAAGCTGTTTTACTTTCTGTATTTGCTAATATACAAAGAATAGTCCATAAGAAGTCTATTTAAGTTGCCTGCACTTTGCACGTATATCCTCTAATGTATAGTTTAAATGCTAAGTTTATTTCTATGGTTAATGTTACATGAAAGTCTTATGTAATTCTTTTCAAGTGCATGCAAGTTCAAATTTGAAATATACTTTTCTGCTCATTAAAATATGTTAAACCAGGCCTAGTGGCATGTACCTGTAGTCCCAGCTACTCAGGAGGCTGAGGCAGGGGGATCACTTGAGGCTAGAAGGTTAAGACCAGCCTGAGCAACACAGTTCAACTCAATCTCAGGAAAAAGAAAAAATAAGTGAACTCTTAGAAAAATTAAAGTTTCTGTCAGAATTTTAAGATCAGGAGGAAAAATTAAAAGAAATATATATATGAAATACAATGCAATCTAAAATAAACAAATAAATAAGAGACTTCCACATTGACTGATCCATCTCCTCTTCTTTATTATTACTGTAATCAGAAACTCTTTTCACCCCGGTCTCCTTGATTTTTAGGTCTATTCCCTTTCCTGGATGGATGTAAGGAGCATTTTTAAGATAATAGTTACACAGAGAAGTTAAAACAGAAACAGCAGTCATTAAAGAGTCTTGGGTTATATATTCAGGGTGCTCATGCAGAGGGTATATTTAGACTTCTAAATAAAGCAAGGAACTCCTAAAAACAGATTATCGGAAATATCAAGTGAATTGAGAAATATTAAACTCTAGCCTGGGGCCCTGGTGTTTGTTAGCTTCTGCTGCATTCTCTCTGCCTCTGCCTTTCAAAGCTGGGTGGAGTCAGCCCCTGTGTGCACTGTCAGCCTGCATCAATCAGGTCACAAGATTGGAAGATTAGACAGACCAGCTCATGAAGCTTATATTTCAATGGTAGAAAACCAAATGAAACAATATAACTTTATGGAAAATAAGCACCATGGAGGAAGTCTCGTGTTGTAATAGGATATACATGACTGAGGGGGCTCCCTCAGTTATCAGTAGTCCAGAGAGGCTGTTCTAAGTTGTTGTCACATGACCTGAGAAGCCAGACATGCAAAGACCTGACTAGATCCATGTTTCAGACAGAGGATGCAGTTACTGTGAAGGCCTGAGTGTAGAGCTTGGCATGTTTAAACAGGAAGGAAGGTCATCCTGACTGGAGTATAGTGATTGTGACAAGGGTAAGGGTGGGGTATAAGAAGAAGCTGGAGAGGCAGGGCCAGCGAATTGCCTCTGGCCAAGAAATCCTCCTGCCTCAGCCTCCTTGAGCCATGGAGAAGAGCTGGGACCTTATTCTAAGAGTGTAGGAAGCTGTTGGAGTAATTTTAATAGGAAAGCATCATGGTCTCATTAAAATTTTAAGAAAACCT